TAGAACTGGCGGGAAGACCTGCCAAGAGAGCATTGCAATAGTCCATTCTGGACATAACAAGAGCTTGAACAAGGAGTTGTGAAGCTGCTTATGTCACATTACATAATGTATTGCATCTGTACATTTTTATTACAGACTTTATTACATTTCTCTATAATAAAAAGTTTAAACTCCAAAGTTTACATTCCAGGGTGTGATACCTTCGGAAAATAGTGTATGCCATATTGATGTTTATTAATAGACAAACCCTCTACTGCAATGGGGCGTGTGTTTACGTCATCACGTGCCGCGGTGCGTACTCGCAGACGTCAGGCCAGCCAGCGTCCGTCCAGTCTTACATTTCTGGCTGCTGTGGTCCCTCACTGATTCAATGAACGGCACAATGGCTGCATCGTCGAACAGGATCATGCTGGGCCCCCTCGTAGCTGCTATCGACCAAGGCACGAGTTCCACGCGCTTTCTGGTAAGTCGCATCCTGAGGACTGTCATCGTGTTGTGGTGGAGCTCAAGTGCCTCGCATACAGACAAAGATTGGAGAGACCTCCGTGCCCTTGCCAACGCGGGTAAATGTTTCGGAGCCGGTTCAGCTGGATTTATGTCATGCCAGTTACCCACGTGGATTGCGTCTAGTTTCTGAATCTGCTCATTAGCACAATGCCAATCCTTCTAGTTAGTTTTCTGTTTGCTCCGTGCTTGTGTCTCAGAATCTGTGAAATTCATCTAACTTAGCTAATAATCTTCGTTTTACCCAGTTACACAATGTTTGGATTTGAGCAGCTTTACAAAGTTCAAATGTTTGTTTAAAACACTTTAATGACCGCTGTAATCATGATGTTTTGTGTGAACATCCAAACTTTTTAAACGAGTTTCTCCAAAAAGTCTATGAGAGACTGTCTGAGGTGTAGGTGTTTTGATTCCGTTCGTGTCTTGTGCGGATTTCTGCTGATCTAAAAAAGTTTTAATTCGCCATTCCACAAACTAAACAAGAAGGAATTACTAATCAAGAACATC